GATTAAAGGGGATTTGAGGCAGTGAGATTAATAAGATCTGAATTAGGATAATAGTTGTAGGGATTTTTAAGACACTTAGTCATTTCAAATGATATCTAATAATTGGAGAATAGTGACCTTAGCAGAAAGTAGAGTGAATTAACAAAGGCATGAGATCATCAGAGCTCTGACTTGAGGTAAACTAAGATCTGATACAGCAACTCTCATCATGAACCCTTAGAATTGGCATTTGCAGATTCGTCATCTGAAACTTCCTCAATGAAACCCTATAAGAAGATGGTTATAACATTTCAGTGACTTCCCAGTTTGACCAGTTTGTCCTCCCTCCTTCTTCCCTCCTTTTCTCTCTCTCTCTCCCCTCCCACCTCCCCCCTTCCCTCAACAAGTAATTATTGATCACATCTTACAGTCTAGTCATAGAGGTAGACCTTCAAAAGATAAATCAATAAAATGCAATAATTGCTGTTAAGAGAAAGTGATATCAAAAGGAACTATTTAAAGCCTAGATCTTCCTGAGGAGTGATATTTGGGATGAAAACTAAAGGACCAGTTGGGAACCAGTTACATAAAGAGTGGAAGCAAAAGCATTCCAGGTAGAGGGAACTGCCTGTGCAGAGGCTAGGAGGCAGGAAAGTGGTTTCATCCTTTATCTTTGTTCTGTCTCTTAAGACTCTTATCAGATAACACTAAGACCACATCTGGAGTGTCTGATACGTTATTAAACACTTAACAAATGTTAGTTTTATTACCTTCTGTGTGACTTTCTTGCTTGCGTTGAAGTCAGCTCTTTTGTCTTTTCTGCAGTCTCATCCTCTACCAGCTATCCCTAGTCCTTCCATTCTTCTTCTGGCACATTCTGGAATGAAATGTGCCATTGGGAAATGTTCAAACATTATATTTAGAAGTTTATATAATAATATCAGGTAAATATATTTTGTGAACTTAATCTATGTCTTACCAGTGATGATGATCAATATGATTTTTTCCCACATGTATAGATACAACTTAAACATATTATTGTTTAAAATATGCCAAGTATAAAAACTCAATATTGATTCCATTACTCTATCTAGTCATCTTTGTGGTTTTTCTATCCTTTATTCAATACATATTTCTTTTATATAAAATAGAAATAAGTTGATTCCTATAACTTATTAATACTTTCTTCACCCTACTCACTCTCTGAATTTCTCTGCACATAAAAAGAACTCTTCTAAGCATTACTTTTAATGGCCACATCATTCCATTGTATAAGTGAACTAAAGTTTATTTGTCCATTTTTCCTTTAATAAAGATTTTTGCTATTAGTAATCATCATAATTCACATCTTTACCTAAAAGGCATATTTGGTTTTCAGATATTTATTTAGGATCATTTCCCAGAAGTGGGTCAAATGTCTTTACTGTTTTTGGGGCCCCTGATACATAAAGACAGACATTTTGTTGTCTTTATAGGTGTTACTTCTTTTATTAGTAGCAGATTCTTAGTAGCAGAGAGTTGGACTAAAATCCAGGCCACCTGAGTTCTTGTCCCACACTCTTTTTCTATGAATTATGATAAAATAAGATGGTATTTTTTTGTAAAAAAGAAAAAAGGAAAATCTTCGTTCTTTTAGTCAAGTATCTTTTAAGGTAGCTCAGTCACGTTCCAGGAAGGAAGTGTTGCAGGTCATTTAAGTAAATTAACACAGTTTGGATAATTCATTTTGTGTACTGTAAGTTCTCATGATATAAACACAAAGATGAGTAAGAGTCTACTTTAAACTTTCTTAGCATATCTTATTCTAACTTCTTACCTTGAGTTTCAACCCTAGATTTTAAAGTAAACAGTGTAACTAGTAATATTGGTAACACTTTTATACTTCTAAAATGATTTTCATATACATCTTCACATGAGCCTCACAAAAAAAAAACTGAGAAGTAACTAGGGCAAAGATACTTCAGTGTGTGTGTTTAGCTTGTTTAGTTAGCAGTAGTCATGTAATTTGAAATCAGGTCCTGATTTCACATTTTCTGTTGGTTCCCCTATTCATTTCTACCTCCATGATCTCATGTTTTAAAAAAAGTGAGAAAAGATATAACATTGTGTAAGTTTAAGGTATATAAGGTGTTGATTTGATAAATTTATGTATCTCAGTTTGACCTCCATCATCTCTTGACTCTTCAGTATCTCACCAAAACAATTTACCTTTTCTCCAAAAGTACTCTTTTTTGAATCTTTTGTTTCTTCTTATCTGCTATTACCCTTCCATCACACTGCAGCCAGAGTAAATTTGCTCTCTTCTTTGGAGGCGAAAACTTTCTTTTTATGACTTTGTGTTTAAGACCAAAAGTTTGGATTACAACCATGTCCCAATCTTTGTTACTCTTCCCTTTGTTCTTGATTAGATGAGATTCAGGGTTTTGTCCTTATTTGCCTTCCTTAACAGGCTAAATGGATCTTATATATACAGAAGGGATTTTAGAGCTAGGTTCTCCCCCACCCCCCCACTCTGGCCTTTGAAATTTCAAAAAAACATCCGTTCTCATGCCAGTTCATAACCCCTCTCTCATGAGTTAGTTTACTTAGTATCTCCTGTAATACCTGGTTAAGTGAATCATGTTTAGTTTCAAGTAGACTGTTAGTTTGACTTGATCATCCATATTTTTATCCTTACTAGACATGATCTTTAAGTCTTCTCTAAAGATTTTGGAGAAAAAGACAACTACTGAAAGGTTTAATAAGTTCCATGATACCTTTTTCCTTCCCTTGCTATCCCAGCTGGGACGATACATAATTGGGTTCCTGTTTTTTGTTTGTCCCATCCCCCTTATGCACTTGATTTTCCTCACGCTTCTTTGACTAGAAGACGTGAAGCTTGGGGTAGTTGTTTGTTTTCTATTTTCGGTTTCTAGCAGTAATGGCAAGAAAAATTAAAATGGTTAAAAATTGCTATTTGAGTCAAATTTAAGATTGTTTTTCTTGAGGTAGAGCTTGAAGTAAAAGAATCATTTCTTTTTCACTTTAAAGGTAATAATTACTTGATATCTATTTTTACTAGTATACATAAAAGCCTATTATAACAGTAGCAAATTTATATCAGAGTAATGTAATGAAATTTAAGTAATGAAAATTATTTTTGATTTTGGATTAATTTTTGTTCTTATGCAAGTGAACCTAGTAGTAAAATTGGAACCTCAGAAAGTGTTTTGAAGCACAGTAACACAAGTGGAAACAAATATGCCAGGTTTTTTTTATTACAATAATTATTTTATGCTCACTGTCCATTAAGTAGATTGTATATAGCAAAAACAAAAAACTAGAGGTGAGTCCATTGTTTTAATTAAACATTAACTGGTTTTTGATAAGTTACATTCAGCTTCCCAGTTAGAATTTTGTTTTTCTCCGTGTTTTTATTACATTTTTTATTTTCGCTTTCAACTTGCAGTGTTTAAAATTCAATAAGATGTTAAGAGATAAGCCAGAAATGTAGACAGAAGCCTAGGAGATTTCGTTAATCTGACCTAGATGTTCTTTTCATGATTGAGATTTATATGCGAAAACAGTTCTCAATTTCAAAATGAAACATAGGAATGTCTACCATATAAGTCAGCTGTCCTGCCAGTGACAGAGAGATTAATCAGCCCCAAAAGGGAAGAGTTTGCATAAAAGTTGTCCTATTTAGATCATTGGTTTTTGGATCAGCAATAATATTGAAAGTTGTAAGTGAATGTAGCCCTTGCATTTTGCCATGTTCTAAAGAGGATTATCTAGTATTTTTTCAAGGGCTTTTTGTATACAGGCAACGTGGGTTTCATTTTCAGTGTAATATATGTGAAACAAAACATAATATGAGAAAATCCTTGAGTACAAATTATGTGAAATGTAAATATTAATGATTTTTGAGAACATATTTCAAAATTAATTTATTGAAAAATTATTTTTTATATCCCAAAATGTGGACACTTATAAAACTTCTACTGTACCAGTTTTTCTGTCATTCTACCAGAGCTCCGAGATGTTAGTTTCTGCTTCAGTTCCTAATGTAACATCGTACAATATTATTTTAAGAAATAAAAAGTAATGAGGACTTATAAATAAGAGATTAGATTTGAGGAGTACCTGATTTAGTCAACAAAGCTGAGTGGAGTAAAAGTACCTCCTAGCCTGGAGCAGCCAGGGCTAATGAGTATGTCGTTTCCTTATGATTGGAATGTATTTAATGGTGAAGCCCTCATACAGATGATGAAAATAGTATACTTACAGTGACAAATCCTTGGAATTATATGTTAAATGGTTTGTCTTCTATTCTAGTATCCAAAGTTGTAAAATAATTGCTTTGAAGCCAGAATTAGAGACCAAACCTTAGTAATTTTTAGTTGAGGATATAACATCTCTTTTATTGAAATAAACTAAGACTAATTTTAAGTACTCAGCTTAGTTTAAGTACTTACTTCTTTAGACATTTAGTTTCAGATACTAGGCAAGCATTTATGGTAGTCAGAATACTTTTATCACTAAATTTTACAAAGCATGTTTCTTCTGAAAAAAAAAAGCCACTGATTTATTTTTGTATAAGTCTATATTAACATATTAATAATTTTCGCTCCTCGAATCTGTTGGGATCTCTGAAGTGCGTGTGTATGTGTGTTTAATTTGACATATTTTGGAGTCGATTTAGTTCATCATTTCAAGATTTCTTTTTCAACTAAAGAATGCTTGATCATTTTAATGATTAAGATTTATGAAATGAAAGTTCATCTCGAAGTATTTTAAAGTAACCGGAATTTTCTAGACACAGGTTAAGTATAGATTGCATTTTATGCTCTGTTCTAATCCTTCATAACTTTATGAAAGATAAAGATCTCTCATAACTGGGTTTAAGTTATAGATTTCTTTTAGTGTATATGTTTGGGACGGAGGCAGCAGATGCATTAGAAGGAAAACTAATTGTTTTTGAGGGAAAATTAACATTTAGCTAAAGCCTTACCTGTGTGCCTTGTGATTATTTTATTTTACAGACTCCAGGCATTAGAGCTCGACCTACAAGACTTCAGTGGTTTTGTGATAGATGTATTTCAAGTAATCAGGTTTGTGTTTAATTTCTGGTCTTAAGCACCTAAAACTGTGAGTAGAAAACAAGTGTCCTGCATGTCCTATGAGCATTTGGGGATTTTAAGAGACAGCATTATTAATGGAAGCAATGTTATTTTGGTTGTTTTCCAAATAAGCTATAGCTTAATTCTATTCCTGAGGTGCAGTAGTTCCTAAAAATTCTAAGTTGAGCTCTGATGATTTTAGCTCGCTTTATTTATCGTAGTTGTTGGTTTGAGCAGGCTGCCTTTTTCTCCTTGGCAATTTACGTCTGCTTCAGTCCTTAGTGACCAGAGGAGTTGCTTGATGGGAGCCCAGTGGAATTTCTGCTTTACCTCTCCTTCAGTCCAGATATCTGTTCATATCCTGCCAAGTAAAAGCCACAGGAGAAGAGTAGTATAATGTTTGGGTGGAGGAGTGTTCTTATTAATAAATGTAGGATATACTCACTGAGTCCTCCACCCCAAATAGCTTAGAATTCTCCAAAAGGCACCTTGTCGTGGTTCCCTTATCTAGATAATTGTACATGTTGTGTTCTTGACTTCAGTAGTCTTTGAACTCTTGAAGTTAAAAATTTTTTTAAGTTAAAATTTTATATAAAATACAAAATACATATAACAAAATGTATCATTTTAACCATTTATAAGTGTACAGTTTAGTGGCATTAAGTACATTCATATTATGCTCAGCCCTTTTGAAGTAAAATTAATTTACTCTTTGGATAAAGCTAATTTGAGGGATTATGCAATTAAGATTTGTCAACTGTACTATATCCTTTACACAATCTAGATCCATCTGTAAATCTTATTTTTAAGGTTGAAACTCTAGAAAAGTTAGTGGAGCTGACACAGAAGCTATTTGAATGTGATAGAGACCAGCTGTACTACAATCTGCTAAAACTGTATAGTAAGTAATGTGATTGTTCCCATGTTTTCATTTTGTGACGTTCATTTACTCTGTTGAAGGCAGTGGCAGGAAAGAAATATCAGTCTTCGAGGAAGCTCCAGGGATTGTCAAATGTGGGAAGTTCAAAAGAGGCTCAAGTAGAGGCCAGATTAAACTTTATCACAAAATGTTACAGACACTATACAATCTTTATAATTTCTTGCATTCTTACTGCAATAATGAGAAGTTTGAAAAATCTTCATCAGAGCCACGATAGACTCTTCTTTTTCTTCTTTTTATTTAAACCCTCTGGTAGATGTATCAGTCACTGCTGTAACTAGGTTACCATCAACATGTTTATGAGTATAGATGTTTTTCCAGAAAAATGCATATACAAACTCACTGCTAAGCAATTTCTTTTTAAAATATGATCATATTACAATACAGTTTTGACTCAGGTCTGTATTACATTTTTCTACATTTATCACCTACAAATACTATGTTGAGCAGATATACTAGAACTTAGTCCATTGCTAGACATGTCAATAGATTTCAGTTTTTCATATTATAAAATAACACTACATTAGTCATCTTTGTACCTTAGTCTTTGTTCACACCCTTAATTCTTAGGGTGAATTTGTATTTGTATTAAGAGTTAAAAGTGATTGACATTACTGAAACCTTTGATCTCTGTTATCAACTATGCTCTAATATCTCAGTTTACACATCTGGGAACTTTGCCGTTAGGGTATTTGAGTAGAAAGGAACAACTTTTTTTTTTTTTTTTTTGCTTCATAGATATTTGATGTAGATTTATTTTCTTCCTTTTCTCATGGGAAATTTTTCTTCATCAAACAAACAGCAGCAAATAAGTTGAGTCATTTACTTTTCGAACTTGTATTTATTATCATTGGTAGCTTTATCTTACATCTTGTTGGTGTAAGTAAAATAAGCCTTGTAAAATTTACATTTTAATCGTTGGTTGCATTGAAGTACATACTTCACATACATTCTTATGGTTATTACACTGTGTATTGGCAATCTTAAAATTTTGGCTTGAATGATGATCAAATTCTGGCACACAATACTGATATTGTTATCGATTGTAGAGAATTTAAAAAGTTATGTTTTGAGTATTTAGTCCTTAATTTGTGGATTATAGCCTGTATTCGAGTGTGAATTCTCTCTTTCCTCTGCATTGTCTTCCTTTTGAAGAACTATTTCATACTTAAATTCTAATTTTAGGCAAACTTCAAAAATACTGAAAAAATACCAAATTTATCCAAATGAGTCTTAGCATTTAAAATTGTCCCCATAGAAGACTACATAAGCTGAATCCCTTACTATGCTAGTCATTGAGGTGAGCACTGCAGAGATACAGGGTGTTGCTCTGCAGAAAGAGTTAGCCTGTAACCAAGACTGATAATTCAGGGTGAAATAACAGCTGTAAGAATATACATGGTACAGTGGGTGTCATGGGAAGGGTGAGAGGTGGTCAGCCTCACAAACTTCTTTTTGCTATGCAGTTGATCTTTTGCTGGTTTTGTTTTTTTAAGTTCACCTTAAAAGTTCCTTCAAAGGTAAGCAGTCTTTGAGGTTTATTACCAGTTTCTTCTCCTTGATCCCTTCTATCTGTTCTGTTGGACACCTCTCTCCAATTTCTCACTCTGTATTTGAGCCAATAGTCTGAGGAGCTCTGTAGCTTGAGAGGGTGGCCTCTTGTGAGGCTGGAAGCCAGAAAAAACGATTATAGGGAAGTATACCTTTTTTTTTTTTTTTTTACAGCAGAAAAGAATAGCTTTATTAGAAGTGATAGTACACTTCCAGACATGGAAGCAGGCCTAAGTGAGAGAAGCGTAGCTCAAAAGCTCAAGGGCTCAAGGGCCGGAAGTATACTTTTTAACCTAATTTATATACTTCCCACTTTCTGTAGTGCTATAAATAATTTGGTTGTGATAACCCTAATTCTTCTCTTTCTTAAGAAGAAGCAAGTCAGCTCCTCTGCGGCCCCCCTTCTCCATTTTGCCTTCCAACTTGGACCACTACTTTAATATGTGAAGTACTACATAAAGCACTGCAGACTCGGTTTATTTGAAAAGGAACATATGGTGGTCCTATTGTACTTGAAAAATCCAGATTTTAGATTCTGGATTTCTGAGAAAATAATTTAGTTTACCTACCTGAAAATAATTTGTTTGGAATTTTTCATGAGTTTATTCTTCGAATGATGTAATTTTAGTCCTCGAAAGGAGGCTTAATTATTTTGGGGTACTGTTGAGCATTTTTGCTTTGTGTATTTTAAAACAGAATCTCTCTTGGGGGAGAGGGAGGTAGATAGGGGTAAAAGGGCTCAAATATTTAGTGATAGAAGGAAATCTAACTGAGTGGTGAACACACAATGCAATATGCATATGACATGTTGAATTGTATGCTTAAAACTTATTTGATTTTATTAGTGACACCCCAATAATTATAATAAAAATAAGTAAATAAAACAATATCATACACAGATACTTAATTTTGTCTTGAATTACACATACTACAGAAACATGCACCCAAAAAAAACCCATTGCGCAATGGTTGACAACCAACATTCATGTAACTCTAATGTAGATTAAGAAATAGAAAGTACATCTATTTTCATACCTTTAAATATTTGCTGTACTAAAACTGCTTTTACTTTCTATATACTCCGTATAGTATGATGTTCATAGGTGATCGGTTACAGCAATGTGTCATAATTCAAACTTTAGTTCTATCCTTTCTAATACATTTGATGTTTCATTGTGATAGTCTTGCCAAATTAGCTACTAAGACCTACCACAAACATTACATGAATAAAACAACTCCCTCACCTGCATAAGGAATATACTGTTATTTCTAAATGGCAATATTTTAACCTTCTTACCAAACATTTTTTTATATTCTAAACACTTTAATTCCTTCTTTACATATACAAAGTAAAGATACTTTATTCTTTGTATACATAAAGTATTCTATCCTCAAATAAAGCTAGTTTACATTTGTAATTTTGTAATAAAAATTATTCAAATCTGTTTTTAAAAACCCTACATTTACAACCATAACATGTATTCTACCTCAGAAGTTATTTATGTGCTGTTTTCTTCAGATACTTATGGCCATTGACCTTTTTTTCACATTATGTGATCTTTTTTCCCTTTATTATTACACAGATAAGATATGAATATATTCTAAATTACTAAAGATTCCAGTAATTCAATGGTATACAGAACAAAATGTGAAAATTTCCTTGTGTCCACCCCTCAGTGTTAACTTTTCAACTGACCATCTTTCCAATTCTCTCTCCATTTGTATCTATATATTTTTTTACATATACACCTATTATTTTGGTTGTAATATACTCTACACGTTTCATACTGTACGTTGTGTTCTGTGGCTTCCTTTTTTATTTACTATGAAATAAACTTAGGAAAAGGTAAATGCTTGCTTTTTTCCCTTTAATTGCCTATTTTAAGTACTGGTGTCCTTGGAACCTCCAAAGTTGATCACTGATTTGTGAGTTCATTAATTCTTTTTATACGTTTGTATTTGAATTTGTTGTAGCATTATTCTTTTTGGTGTTCAGATTGTCCAATCTTTGACCAGTGGGAACCCCTAACATTGGTTTCTAGGTCTTTCGACACTTCCGTTAGTCTTCGATAGTTCCTTACTTTCAGACAAAACAAAATAGTGCAGGCTTATGTGGCATAATTCCTGTCCCACCTGGAGTCCTTATTTTAGAGGAGAATAATATTTCAGGACTATAATCAGGTGATTCACAAATAGGAATTTGGAAATTGTAATATGTGAAAATTTACCAGCTTTGTAATTAAAACCCCGAACTAGAAATCTTTATCTTAGTTCAATACCATAGAGACCATGTATAAATTGCCAGCTGTTGTTATACAGTGGTCATGTAGCCTTAACATGTAGCGCCACAGTTGTGTCTATTCTTGTAAAATTCACTAACAGTGTCAAAAATCTTTGGTTTTAGAGCTCTCAGAGATCATTTAATAGTCCTTTCATTTAAAGAAGGAACAATGAGTTTTAAGAAAGTGGTGGTATTATAGAGGCAGAGTGTCCATTCCCTGGTCATGGCCCAGGTTTGTGGTTATTTTATTTTTCTAATAACAATTGTTGTTTTCTTGGTGGAAGGAACTTTAAGCCCCAGAAGGATATTATGAAAGAAAGGCATGGCTTTTCTGCACACCTGTGAGATTTTACACACAGCTGCAGATTTTGGCACACCAATTAGTTTCATTGCCTCAAATTTTTATTACATATTTTATTGTTCAGGTACATTTCCAAGAATTTTTTTCCCTTAAAAAATATTATGTGTATATAAATAACTGAGTTGTTTAATGCTATATACAGTAATTCTCACCTGCATTTTGAAATTTTTTTGTTGTAAATTGGTAGTCCATTTGAATTAGGTGCATCTCTGTAATATCTTGTCCTCCCCAGGTAGTAGCTTTTCATATACTTTGTGACATTTTTAAAGGAAAAAAAAACTTGTCTTCCCAGTCTGAAGAATCTTTCAGTCCGAAGGCACAGTGTTGTTCATTGTCTACTCACCTTGTCTTCAGTTTTTGGAATAGTTATGTTAGCTTAAAAATTCATCTCTCTAAAAAGCACCGTAGCAGTGCTGTTCCCAGCTCTTGGAAACTTCTGTGTGTCTCCCACAGCCCATGTACCCTTTGGCAGGGAACAGACGTGGTCCACCTTCCTCTTCTTCAGATTTAAAGGTTCCAAGGCTTGGGTTTTATTTAATCAAATTAGTTTTGTATATTCATACACTCGAAAAATTACATTTATAAAATTGAATTTTACATTACATGTGAACATTTTAATGAAGGAGAAGCATAATTAGCTTATGTGAGTCTTGTTTTGAAAATTGATTGTAAATGTAAGGGTTTTGTATTAATTAGACTGATTTTGTTATCAAACGATGTATAAAATCACTCTGAACTTTAATTTCTACTATGTAGGCCACTTTTTAATATATTCTATGTGAAAGTTTGGAGCGCAATCTATGTGTGGCTCAGGGAAATCTTCCTACTCATTATTTACCTTTTTCTTTATTGCAAGTTTCTAATGGAGTGTGAATGTGTTTTTTACTTCCAGGAGTCATTAGTTATCAAAAACTTAGCTTTCCAATTTTGAGGTGAGGGGTCGAGGGGGCTAGGAAAATTCCATTTGTTTTATTTTAGTATTTGGATATTTTTGAGAAAAATTTACTTGTGTTTTATGGAACATTTGTGCCCAAAGCTTCCTAGAGCTGACTGTGCGCAATCAAGATACTTATCAATTTTTTAAAAAGAACACATTTAAAGCAGTATTATTTTATGCTTAATGATTATATTGAGTTTTTGCTGTTTGTGAAGACTAGATTACCACATTAAAAGGGACTCTGTTTTTCAATATGAAACAGTCTGCCTTTTTCCAATAAACTTCCTGTCATACTTAGTCTGATTTCAGCAGCAGGCAGTTTCTCAGTTACTTTAAAACGACAAATTTTTATCAACATAATTTTCAAAGTGTTTAACAAAGTGCAAGGTCTTTTTGTTTTCTTTCACTTTTTAATAGGTAAGGTATTTTTGTGGTTTCAAATTCAAAAGATACACAGAAGGTCATTTTACCTTTGGTTCACAGTCACTCTGTTCCTTTCCCTGGAGGCAATATTTGGAATAATTCTTTTTCCAACATCAAATAAGAAAAAGTTCTAAATATTTTCATAAGTTCTACTTAGTAATTTCATTAATTTCTGTTTAATCAAATTTTACAGAAGTAAATGGCGACTGGCAAAGAGCTGATGCTGTCTGGAATAAAATGCAAGAAGAAAATATTATTCCTCGTGGAAAGACATTAAGATTATTAGCAGAAATCCTTAGAAACAATAATCAGGAGGTTCCGTTTGATGTACCTGAGGTAATTTGTTTTTATCTGTAAGCATAGCAGATTTTGTTGCCAGTATAACTTTAGGTCATAGACTAGCCCAGTTTTATACTGAACTGATCACTGTATTTACCAGTTTTTGTTTAACTGAATAATTTTTTTTTCAAGTTGTGGAGTGAAGAAGAAAAACATTCCCTGAATTCTTCAGCTCCCTCACATGTAGAAACTAATATTGAGAAAGATCTATTGCATGCCTGCCAGTGGAAGAAAAGCAGAGGTCAGTATGTACACTGGGGTCTTCTAATAGCCCAACAAATTAGAAGTGCTCTAGGATAAAGATGGAACTTAAATTGTATATATTAATTATTTTATTTTTTAAATTAACAGACAGTTGGGGGCAATTGGGAAAATTTAAATATTGACTGAAGAGTGGGTAATTAAGAAATTGCTCTCATTTTTATTCGATACTATAATGATATTATGATTTATGGAAAAATGTCTTTAAATTTTGGGATCTATAATGAAATATTAAGGGGTGAAAAAAAATCTATGTTTCTATAATTTATTTTAAAATACTTAAAGAACCAAGATAAAGTAAATGGCAAAATATTAAAAGTAATTATTAGATATAGGTTATAGATCTGTGAAGGGGTTTATTATACTATTCTTTATATTTTCTGTACATTTGAAATTTTTTAAAATACCAAAATAGGTATACAGTTTATCAAAAATTATACTTTGAAAATAGCATTACTATGAATTTTTTGGGGGGGAGGGCAAATATATATTTTGCTTTTATTCGAAGGAAAAAATGATTAGGGCATTAACCACCATATTAGTGTGTGTCGAAGTGATCAAGCAGTATAGTAGTCCCTCATGTATCTGTGGGGGATACGTTCCAAGACACCCACTGGATGCCTGAAACCACAGACAACATATATACGATTTTTTTTCCTATACATCCATAGCTTTAATAAAGTCTAATTTACAAATTAGGCACAATAAGAGATTAACAACAATAACTAATAATAACATAGAACAATCATAATAATATGCTGTAATAAAAGTTATGTGAATTTGACATCATTAAGTAAAATAAGGGCTATTTGGGCATAAGCACTGTAATACCGTGACAGACGTCAATCTGATAACGCAAATGGCTACTAGGTGACTAATAAGTGGGTAGTATATACAACATGGGTACGCTGGACAAAAGGACGATTCACATCCTGAGCAGGACAGTGTGACATTTCATCACACTATTCAGAACAGTGTGCAGTTTAAAATTTATTAATTGTTTATTTCTGGAATTTTCCATTTAATATTTTTGGACTGCAGGAAGCAAAACCTCAGATGAGGGGGATTACTGTATCTCAGGGTTGGAGGCAGAACATGAACCCTGTTCCTTGCTTTTCTTTCCTTTCTTTAGTGGTAAACTTTCCTGAAGGCATGCCTACCTTAGTTATGACAACGTGAAAAGGTTTCTGACCATCTTAAACCCTTGCCAATTGTATTCTAAATATTTTCAGTAAGATTTTGTTGTACTCCCCCAAAATCATACATTACCATTGTTTCCTTTATTCTTGTTAATTTTTCTCCGTAGAACAGTCCCATTACCTTTAAGTCCTTCAGTTTTTGTGTGGATTTTCAAGTAAGTTTTATGATAATTAAACCATTATGCAACAGATTTTTATTCATTTTTATACTGACAGTTTTTAGCTCTTTTCCGTAGAAAGGAATCAATTTAGAAACTTATTGAACCTCTTAATTTCTTGACTTAACTAGAAATTATGTGACACTGAGTTAAAGCGTATGAAATAAGAATAAGGTAAGCTCTTATGCTTTCTCAGTCATGCAGAGTAACTTTTTATTCATTATCCATTGCTGCATACTCAGTCTCTACATCCTTAAGTCTCACCATGTATCTGTTAAACCTAAATGTAAAATTAATTATCATTATCAATACTATTTAAATATTCTAGTGGAGTTTTGATTTGACTGAAATGATTAGTATATAGTTTCTGTTTAAAGAGTCTAAATCTCTTTCACATAATACTTTTTTTTAAATGCCTGTTTTAAGTAAAAACATTTAACTAATTAAATATAATGTATTTATTATAAATGTAGAGGTATATCTCTATTCTAATTTTAATATTTTAATAACAATTTAAATTTATCTAATTGGTTTCATCCTGTTAATTTTTTCAGAGCTTTTAGTTACTTGTGTGTATATCTCAGGATTTGAATCCTTAACAAAGTATGAACACTGTGGATAGTGAATGCTTACATTAACATTTTATCAAATTTCTGGTAGTTTAGTATACTTACAGGGATAGCGTGACTTTCACGCCAGACTCAAACCTGTGGTGAATGAGTTTGGTGCATTACAATTATTGCTTTTTTTTTAAGCTACTAGAAAATAAGAAACATAGCCATACCAATATTGTGGGAAGACTACAATTTTTAGAAAACAGCTATTGAGATTTTCTAGATTATTTGATTTTAAATATTCAAATTGTACTTATTTATTTTCATTCAGCACACTAAACTATTATATGTTGAGAAGTAGACAATAATTTCATTACATCATAACTTCTTAGCTTATGTACTGAATGATAGATTCTGTTCTTTTTAGTTAAGATACAAATATTAATGTCATACTTTTTCTCTCGTTTTCTGTGAATTTAGTTCAAAAAGATAACTAAGTTTTTGATGTCACTTCAGTTAATTGAAGGGCCAATGCAAACTTCCCTAACTTATAAATATAAGAAAAGTTTCTGCTTTTTCAGGAACCTCTCAAATTTTCTTCTGAGCATTAATAGCATGTTCATTCCTAGTTGTGTGTTCTGTATTTCCTTACAGTGAGCTTTATATCCACAGAAGGTCATACGTGATAGTTCAGTTATGCCCTATCTTTACTGTGATTTGTTTATACATACCAGAGAGTGGAGGATTGTAGTTTCAGTTGGATGTTTATAGCCAGGCAATTTTATTTCAGAAAAGTAAGTGACTGAAAAGTGTAGTTACTTCTCTTTTGGTAACATCTTTTCATTCACTGACAGTTATTGTGAACAAGTGAAATAAAACTGTTAATCAGTCAAACAAATGTTGCTTAGTTTACTTGTTAGATATCTGTATATTTGAAAATTGTATGTTTTTGTATAAGTCCTGTCGTAGCCAAATAATTTGATCTCCTAATTTTAGAATTATAGGCTATATTCACTTTAATGCTATTGTGTGGAAATGTTAACCATCGTAACCACCCACTTATAGATTAAAGATTGCTTTAAAATGAATCTTTTGCGCCCCTCAGTCTAAATTATACCTCTGGTTTATTTGGACTTTAACACACAACACACATTTTGCAATTTGTTTTGAAACTAGTGTAATTTTTTGACAAATTCAGAAGAGCTATTTCTCATTTTTATTTGGAGGAAAATAATTTACTGAGTTTAGAAAGCTAATATGAAAAATAATTTTTGAAGGAAGCTCTTTCAGGTACCATCCATTTGGATTAAGTAGTAGTTTCCAAATATATCACTTTGTATTTTAAAGATTAGAAGAGTGACAACATCTGCTTGCTCAGTCAATGTGTGTGTCTCTATAGAGTGGTATAGTGGGTAAGTTTTAAAAGAAACAAATATGTGAGTTTAGGGTTTTGTTTTAGAGTTTTTTCCCTCTTTGCCATTTCAGAATGATATAATCTTGTTTTTTTGTTTTTGTTTTTGTTTTGCTTTTATCCCCACAGATGCTTATGATACTTTCCTGAAAGCACAAAAGCAGAATGTTGTGTTTAACAGTGAAACATACAGCAGTCTTATTAAATTACTGTTGACAAAGGATAGCTTTCCACAAGCAATGCAAGTGAAAGATTTGTAAGTATTAGTCCATTTATTAAAGCTCTCACTTATCACTTATCATTAAGGAATTTTCTAATGATATGTTATTGTAGGAGCAGTTGCTTGAGTTTCCTCAGCTACCTGTAAAAATCATATGACATGGTTTTTTAATTTTATGGAGTTTTTTAAGCTTTAAAATATATAACCTCTACTGCCCTGCATAGTGCAATGCCTTTTATTTACCTTACATAATCTTGAAACTCATTTATGATGCCCATATACAGAAAAATAATTTTTATTATGTTTCTTGTTCAGCAGCTAGATATGTGTACCTTTCGTGGTGAGAGCAGCTTGATCTAATGAAGACATCAAAAACTTGGGCAAGGGTTTGAATCTTACTGAAAGCTCTATAACCTTGAGAAAATTATCCTCATCTTTGAGTCTTAATTTTTCTTTTATATGATGATAGTATTTACATGAAAGATTTATTCTAGGTATTGAAGAAGATAGAGTGAAGTAGAGAAAATATAGGTACTCAACACATTTTATATTCAACACTTTTTCTCCCTTCTGTTGTGTTTTTGTTTAATTTGGATTTTTGAAAAATCTGGTGGTGTTGGTGTTGGTGTTGGTGTCGGTGGTGGTAGTGGTTTTATCTCTGGCTACTTCCCTAGAGTAAAATACTTTGTCAGTCAGAACAAGAATAAAGTTTTCTTACCTAATATGTTAATTAACTAACGCTGTTATCTTATCCTCATGGATAAGTTGAGTTATTAATCAGAAAGGGCCCTAGAAAGAAGTAGATCAAGGTCACCTACTCTAGAACAGGGGTTCCCAACTCCTGGGCCACAGACCGGTTCTGGTCCGTGGCCTCTTAGGAACAGGAACCGGGCCACACAGCAGGATGTGAGCAGAGGGTGAGCAAGCGAAGCTTATCTGTATTTGGAGCCGCTCCCTAGCGCTAGCATCACCACCTCAGCTCCACCTCAGATTATCAGGCCTTAAATTCTCATAGCATCAGTCCCTGGTGCCAAAGAGGTTGGGGACTGCTGCTCTAGAACATAGACCTGTCCTGCTGAGTCACTAGCTTTATTTTCAATGGCAAAGATCAACCTTTTCATAGTATATTGTGAGTTCGGAAATAATCTCTGTGGGCTAATTTTTTGGCCTTCAAATTTTTTAAGTCTCAGCATTTTGGGGATATTACAAACCTGAATAGAAAATGGATGTTTGCCGTTCTTGCAATTTGCTGGAAAACCTGGTGTTAATACTAGTGTCACATTAAAGTTAAGCACCATAGAGCCATATTTACTGTTGATGTTTTAGTACAGTTTGAAAAATGTGTATGACTGTACCTGTCTGTGGAAATACATCTTGTATAGATACACATGTACAATAAATATGGATATATAAGTACAATATATATGTATACACATACCATATATATCTATGATCTTGAATCATTTGTGTGTTTTGATATAGGACAATCACATTAAGAGTTCACATATTTAATGTATTCTGTGTCTCATTTCTTTTTAGTCAGTCGCTAATTAAATAAATTACCTATCTTTAAAATACTTAGTGCATCCTGAATTAGTGACTTGGAAAATTTGACAGTGAACAGCATCCTCTCATCTGTAATCATTGAAGTCATCAAGGAGGTGTGGGTTTTTTCCTAAAATTACTTTCCTCAGGAAATTATCTAAATTCTCTCTTCCAACACTATGTAGCCATAATAATCAAAGGTGTTCTGAAGCAACAATGGTTTGGGAGTAAGAGGAGACAGGAAAATGAAGCATTTTGTGTTGAGAATTGGGTATGATTAAGTGAGAGGATAGAAGCAAAGAAGGAAAACTTTTTAAAAAACCTTTAATCTCGAGGCTGGTCCCAAAGACCTCTGAAATACTTCCCTAAATTACAGACTATAATTTTTTAAATTTTAATTGGGTTTGTTCTAGAAAGGTGAGCCTCACATTCCTGTAGCATAAAAAGATTCCCCACAGCTTCCTCCAAAGGTTTTGTTTGAGCTGATCTGCTATGGGGTCCAGGAATCTGCATTTTACTGAACACCCAGGTGATTCAAGAATTGTATGCCTTAAACATTTTGATAGCATACCCTTACTAATTGTACTGATGAATTGTACTAATGTCTCACTTGTAAATATATTATAAAATGCTCAAAAAATAAATATGTTTCAGAGGATAAGATTTAAAAGTAGAGTTTTAAACTTTTTTTTTTTTTTGCCTCACCCTAAAGCATTTACACAGTGTGCTTCCATTGAAGACCACTCATCTAGAGTAGTGTTTCAAACTGTAGTTGTAACCCGTTAGTGGGTCATAGAATCTATTTCGTGGGACAGAATCAACTTTTTAAAAATTGAAATAGAATGGGCAATATCAAAACACGTTATGTAGTAAAGATATTATTTTGTGAAAGTTTTATTTCAGTTATATGTGCATCTCTGCACTGGTATGTAACATAAAACATCTTTCTTACTATGTTTGTGAATCTTAACCAAACAAGTACAAACTGCTGACCAAGAAGATAGCCCTTCTATTTTACCTCATGTCCACAGCCTATAAAATGTATGTTTATCTTTTTCCCTTCCTCTCTAGATCATCAGGAAGCCTTTCTGTTCTCTTGAAGGCACTGTTATCTCAGCTTTGTTATCCTTCCAGGAGTGTTACGTAGCCGTTTTCCCCATGTAGCTGTGTGGGCCCAAGAGAGTCCAAGATAGAAAGTCTTAGAATGTCCAGAAGCACCTAACCTGGGGATTGGATGCATGTCTTTTCCATTAATCCAATAAAATGTTATATCCGACTATGAAGAATTGTATCTTGGGTTAGATCTGCAGTGAATACTTTTGAAAATAACTCTTGAATTCAGAAGAGTAGATTGTAGTTCCAGTTTTCCAGCTAATTAACTATATACCAGAATAATGTCTTGTGACTTCTCTGGATTCATTTCCTGGTTCATTGCCAACATGAGTCCATGTTATCTCTCCCACTTCCAGATCTGTATCCATGATCAGAGTAGAAAAGAATTGTTGCTTTGTTTTATAGGCATCTTTATTATAATATAGTGTAACCAAATGAGCCACTGTAGCAAGAAGCAGTGCTTCCTGCTGTGATCCTGGTGCTATTGCTCTTGGTCTGAGAATAGCTGTCTGTTCTATAATTACCTGCACGATGCCACTTGTTCAGTCTTTAGAGCTATGATTTTTCCTAGGAACTAAAAGGTACAGTCTTCGTTTTTGCTATACCTTTGCTGTCTCTAATGTTTTGCAGATTCACTTGATCTCTGACGAGATTACTTCAATTTTATTAACAGGGCCATTTAACCTACCCAACAAGGAATGGAACCTCAAAAGTAACAGTAACAGCTGCCTTTAAAAAAATTTTAAAGAAACCAACTCTCTTCCATTTTTAGTTAGAATTACATTCCTTCATGTTTCAAAATAAAAATTTAGGTACAATGAAATTCTTTCAAGGGAGAGGAACTGCTTATTCAAAGATCAGTAAGGGATATACATTATTATTTTAAATCTCTGATAACACTAAACTGTATTAGGAAATTTGAGAATCACACAGCAGCAGCTCCGCTTTATCTTTTGAGAATAGCACTTTGTTTTCTTTTGTCCCTACCAGCTTTTATTTCATTCTATCTAGGAAATAATGCACAATCAACCACTGATGGTTTTTACTGGATTGGCCAGTTTTTGTTATCCAAAGTAAGATAAATTATAATCACCAGCTACTATCCTCTGTGCGTGTTATGTAAGTATAATCCACAGACCAGTCATTGCTGTGAAATCTCTAATGTGAAACTCTCCCTGTGATACTATCATCTTCGGTTAAGACATTAATTTTTGCAGTTGATCGTAAATTAAAAGACTGATATCCATTATCAGTAGATTTTTTCCTTTATTTGGCAGTTCTAAAAATGAAAAGAAAATGTCTAGAATTCTGTGTTGTTCAGTCCAATAGCCATATATGCTTATTTAAATTTAAATTTATTAAATTAAATAGAAATAAAATTTCCATTCCTGTGTCGCATATAGCCACAGTGGCTGCCTTGTTAGACAACATGGATAAAAAAAATTCCCATCATCACAGGAAGTTTGATTTGACAGCCCTGGAAAAGATATTTTTTCAAAAGGAAGGATCGGAATCATGCGTCAGAAGTAAACTACTTTTATCATATTGAATGAATGAATCTAACACAAAAATCTCTATTAGAAACTTTTTCTAGTTTTTCTCCTTTTGCCAGTTTGGCGTATACTTTGAATGTAATTGATCAGTTTCTATATAATATATAGAAAATATATATATTCAGTACATATTAGAGCTGGAGAGACTTCTTTCTGTTTTACTTTCATATTTGTATGGAATAGGCAGCTTGTTGAGATACGAAAGAAAATGTTCTGTTTTGAGGTTTCAGAAAGGTTTTGTGATTCACACTTGATGCCACTTAAAAGAAATTTTGTTACCTCATGGTTTTAATAAATTTTAGGTAATATTTTCAGATAAATATGGTATAATACATGTAGTATTGGACATAAAAAGTGAGCTTAATTTTAATAGTGTTTACTGTTTATTTAATCATGCTAAAGACTGAGAAAGCAAATCCTTTATTTTATGCAGTTTATAGTCTCATGCACGAGTTGTTGACTTAAGAGCTTTGACAGATGGGACAAAGGAAAAAAGTCAAACCGAGCAATGGGTGTTTTGGTGGGATTAAGGGGATAGGTGGGGGATAAGAAAATCCTGTTGGGGGGGCGGGCAGGGAAATGCAAGGGTGAACCTCAGAAGCTGGAAGTGACTGAGAGGATGGGCGCATCACCGTGTCTTTGGAGGATTTTCCTGGGATTGATGAGAATAATTTAGCAGTGACCCTGCTGTTCTTGAAATCTGCCCAGCTTAGATGTTCATGTAGTCAGGCCGAGGTTGTTGGCAGCAAGATCATCCCTGAGCTTGATTAAGGCAAATGGCAGCAATTGCTTTTGCTTCTTTTGACCTGTGGAGATTTCCTAATCGGGAGATGAACCCCAGGGGCATTAAGGATGCTGAAATTTCATCACAGGAGATGTGCAAACAGTGTAGCAAACAAATTATCTCTGGCTAAGGTGTTTTGTTTTGTTTTTAATCATGTAGGTTTTGGTCATAAGTAAAGCAATTTTTTGCTCCTGAGTTTTAAAAAGGTGCGTTTTTTTGGGCGGGGGCGAGGAATGTTTTAGATTTAAGGGCAGGACAAGATTGTTGTGTGAAATTTTAATTTAATGTAACAATGGTTTTAGTTCTGCAGCATGTTCACCTTTAAAAACTGTATGTATCTAGATGACAGAAATTTGAAAATTAATCAACCAAATGATATGGTGTTAGTAATATGCTTTAGTTTATATTTAAAATATGCAGTGCTGAAAATAAATGTTCATTTTTGTTGCCGAAAGAATAGTTTTACATTTTATAATTATGGTGAATGTAGAAAAAAGAGGAAAAAGTATCCAGCTTAGGATACAGCAGAACAATGCAGGGCATGCAGTTATTTTAGTCATCTAATATGTCAGCATTCAAGAATCTGAACCGATTGTTTAAAAAAAATCTTGTACTTTGTTTCTTTTGTTGCTCATTTCCAACTTTGTCATCTGTCAGAATGCAAAAAAAAATTATCCTTCTATAACCATTGACAGGATAACACAAAAGCTGTCTCCAGGTCGATATTTTGCAGCAATATTTTTAACATACGAACAGTAGTTTTTATAATTTCACCTTGGTGCTCAACCATTTATTATCGTATCAGAAGCATGTCAGTAATTCCTTTCTAAATGTCTGCTTCTTTTAGCGCTGAGACCCACATCAAGGGCTTCACACTGAACGATGCTGCCAACAGCCTCCTCATCATAACGCAAGTTAGGCGGGATTATTTGAAAGGTATGTCACAATGCTTGACCTTTACGTCACATTAATGCCTCTGCAGATTTTTCTTGTAACGCCCTTCGAATACTTGGATAAAGGAGTCCATTTAGCAAATTACCTGCTTATCAAGAGCCTTTTGTGGTAGCTGAGAGACGTAAATTACTGTACATGCATTTATAATACAGCTTGAATATGAATGTACTTGTCATTTGACCACTTAGTCCAGTTTCCATTCCATTTAACACAAGATGGGTTTTCTTAAGATGAATCACAGCTCTTCAGACATGCAAAATTTGTGTTCCAGAATGAGAGAAAGTACAGGCTTTCAAGTGCGTTAAAATTCACAGTACAAGGCATTTTGCTTTGGAAATTAACATACTTTAGAGCATCTGAAACAATTCCCAGCAGTTGTTTCTTGCATATTGTGTTGGTTGTGTATGAGATAGCAAATGAGTTAAATTGAGTGTTAAATGTACAGATTTGTGCACCAAATGATTATAATATTGATTTTTAAGACTTAATCTAATACTTTTTTTAATAGTTTGTAATACCAACAGCAATAAAATATGGTGTTTGTTTGGAGTTTGGAATTTGAAGTTTTTAAATTAAGAGGATACCACCAGAAAGATGTGGAGATGACTTTTGGGAGGACTGAAATGGGGGCCATTTGTTTGGTGGAGGCTGTTCATGGGTTTGCAGAGGGATGGGTTTGGATCTGACAGTCTTATGAATGAGCTCCCGAGGGGGAAAATGTTGAATCTCTTAAATTTAGGTAAGCACCTTTTCATGTTTAGTTTTTGAATTTGAATTTTAGTACAGTAACACCACACTTTTGCCAATACAACAAAACCCACTTAGGAAATCTTTAGGGAAGATTGAAAAAGCTCTTTAACTTTTAAATATGTTATCATATGTCTTCCTCAGTCTGTAATAATGGTGTTATTCCTTACTTGCATGTTTATAAAATAATTTCACATCCCTCAGAGAAAATTGCTGTCTGATTATGCAGCTTTAACATTGCTTGTAATACCTAAATGTACTGGTCTTTAGATGTCTTCCTAATTGATTAGGACGGCATATATAAGTGATGATTTCTCCATTGCAAAATTTTCACCTTAGCATTCCACAGGCAGGGCCAGCCTTTATAGACAGTTTGTTTTTTTTGGGACAGCCTTAAGTCATACTTGAGTGATGTAAGGCTTGTTATTAAAACTTTAAAAGCTTTCATTTTATTTTTAATAAAAAAAAGGCTTTCTGTCAAATCGATATTTTATGTAGAAATGATAAACAATTTTAAAACATAGAAAAATCAAACTTGTTCCACATATAAATAAGCTCATTCATAAATAGCTTATATATCTGAGATATGGAGATAAGAACAAAACACTTTTTTAATTTCAAGGGGTTGATTTTTGAGCTCAATCTGAATTCAATTTGTTTCACTTGATTATTGCCCTTTATTTATGTTAGGTACGCTGTGGAAACTACAAGAAACTTTATGATTAATTTTCACATCTGTTCTCAGCTATTCATTTTAACTGGAGGTTGGCTGAGAGCAGGAACGATGAGCCCACTGTTCCCCCACTACCACCTTCATCCCTACATGCCACCTCCGATGCCTCTCCACAGGCTGACCTAGAATAAAGTGATCATCGGCACGAATGAGAATGGTTTTGGCACTATCCACATCTCCTTACTTTGCTCCATGGCTGACTAGAGCTCCCAAGTTTTAAGTCCCCTTCTCCAAGTTTCTTTTTCTCAATCCCATCTAATGCAGGAAGAAAAATAAAGCCAATTCAATTTAATCTAATTTTATAAGCTAATACTGTTCTGGAATATTAATAGCTGATACATGGCACCTTTGCAGTATAATCAATATTACTAGTAAATTAGGTGACTATGAAAAGGACACAGGGTGGGCGGGTATGGATGCTTACTGTTTTTGATGTCTCTTAAATCATAAACTATACAGAAGGCAGGTTCTTTTTGGGAATATGATTTAGGTTCTAAGGTTCCATACTTCCTTTGGATAGACATAATATAATCTATTCTTTACCTTCCACTCTCTCATTCACACACATGCACCCATAGAAGCAGACTCCGGGGTGGTTAGATTCTTGGGTTAGTGTCTAGCATGACCTTGGGTAAATTATTTAAACTCTGTACCTCCATTCTTTGCCTATAAAATTGGTACTACTTCAGAAGGGTAGTTGTGAGTATAGTTGCTTATTACTGTGCCTGGCATGACATATATGTTCAACAGATATGGTAAAAGCTCAATAAGTGCTAGTTACTATCATCACCATCATTATTTTATTTGTTGTTTTTTTGATCCACTAGTGAAAAGATCCTCCCTAGCTGACATTATTCTTGATTATAAAAATTTTCTTGGGTATTTTACATGATTTCAAGGAATTAAATATGAAAATGTTTATATTATTTCTGACATCCCAGCATTATATTTATAGCAAAAAATGTTTTGTGTTTTCTTGAACATCTGTTATTCACAGGATAAACATTTCCTTGCATTTTACCAAAAAGAAAAAAATCAGTGGACACTTAAAAATGGTGTTTGTTTTTTACTTAGTAATGAATATCCTTTCTGGCACTGTCAGCCACTTCTCCACTTGTTAATTACTTCTACCAGAATAGAAAGTTGATTGTACAGTACACAGTGCCTACTTAACAGTGATCGTTGCAGCACTTCATGTAAACCTGCACTTACTGGCGGCCTGATATTTTGAGTTACTGTGAATTTCCCCGAACCTTTTTCATTTCAGCAGTTAGTAATAGTCATGCAAGAACCAGCAACAAATAAAAAATAATAGCCCCATTCATCTAAAGAGATACATTTCCAAATAAAGTTTTACTTTGTTAAAAAAAGAATATTCTGAAGTTGATTATCTGTGTATGACCACCAGTTGAGATTTTATCAAGCTTATTTTCTATAGATTATATTATTAAAATTATATTAATAACATTTTGTTTTTTATGTTACTATGTATTTAAAATTTTATCGAATATGCCTTTTAAACTACCTATTTTCTCTGTTTCCTATTTGAGATTCACTGGTTTAGATTGTAGATTTGGAGTAATTATAAATTGTTTATTCCATAATAAACACCGAATTCATTATGTCTTTTAATAGACTGTTTAATTATTACCCTTTTCCCATTCTTCTGTAAAAGATAGGCTGTTCTTATTTAATAGAAAGCTGCTTTGAGAGTCTTAGTTTTGTCTAGGTTACATAGCTTTAATTGCTATAAACCCATGAAGTTTTCTTTGGTAGTGGTAGTGGTGATTGTTATGCTAAGTATTACATTTTCCCTCCAGTCTACCACTTTATTTAATATAATGATTTTGCTACACTCGTACATGAGTCAGTAAATGAAAAGGATATTCCATATTTATCCATAATCAGGTACTTGTAAGTATGATGCTTAAAAAACAAACAAACCCCCCAAAAACAACAACAAAAAAACTCCTACGGCTGTATCCATGGGAATCTAATGAGCTTTATTTTCTTTGAAAAATGAGTGCAAGAAGATAGCTACAAGGTATTTAATTACATAAAAGTTGAAAGTTCCATTTCGGCTGCTCCTTTGTGATCGATGTTATTTGGACTAGAAAAAGACATACTTTTCATGAAAGAATCTTTGGAAATCAGAAGATTTTGAAATATCATCTTTGAGTGTAATAAAATCTGGGATAGTATGAATGTGGGTAAAAATCACATATTTTTGGCAACTCTTCCATTTTTAAAATTCTTATTTATATTTCTTGAACTTGTCAACTTCTTTGAAATTAATCACTAAATGTTATCCCTGAATGGTATCCACATCCTGTGATTTTTGTATTTTTTGTATTTTCCCTGTGATAGAAGAAATTTCTCTGGTCTCTGATATCTTAACATTTGTATTTGTATTCGTATTTTCCCTGTGATAGAAGAAATTTCTCTGGTCTCTGATATCTTATATTCAAATAAATTATTTTTTTTTTAGGTTTCTTATAAAGTATTAATATTTCCTGTAATCTAGAATAAATTATTCATAGCTTTTTGTGTATAGCCATTTGGAGCTCATATTTAAAAGCTGGTTTTCAAAATGCATTAAAGTCAGTACAGTTCATAGAAGAGAAACTGTCTCCTGCTCTTCTGTTGTAGAGGCTCTAACAACGCTAAAAACGGCCTTGGATCTGAAGCAGACGCCTTCTAGGGTAGCAGTGACCCGCCTGATTCAGGCATGTGCCTTGAAGGGTGATACAGAAAGCATACATGCGATTCAGAAGATGGTAAATGGACTCAAAGATTCAATTGGACTTTCACATATGGTTTTCATCAATAACATTGCTTTGGCACAAATAAAGAAGTGAGTATTTTCTAGCCTTTTCCTCCATTGAATACTGGAAGGAGCGTTATCTCAAATACCACTTCAAAATATTTTTTAAAACTATTAGAAACCACATCGACTGCAGAGGAAATCAAGATGCCAGTTGCTGATTATTCCCTAACTATGAGGAAATAATTTATTATATGTTATAAAATGTGTTTTAGCTTTAAAATAAATTTTAGAATAAAGAACATTTATCAAATTTTTCCAATGTGTAGATTTTGCTCTGTGGTAGATTTCCCCTCTCATTCATACACACTAGGCCCTTGTAACACTATTAACAAGTGAAAAATGAGTTCATTGGTTGTCAGCAACACCTGAGGGTAACATTCCACTAGAAGAGAAAAGAGGGGGCTCAGCAAGCATGTTAAAAATGTTTCCATTTTCTTCTCCTCCTACCTGTCCACCCCTGTCAACACATACCCACAAAAAGGGAGGAATTTAGGGGTGATTCTCTTACCACCTTCTTTAGATTCCTTGTTGAGAATCATCACTGTAGAAGTAAATAAGAACTTGATTTCTATTAACCTCCCAAGCAAAGTATTTTGTTCAAATTAAAGATTCCTGGGAATAATTATGGACTTGACCGTCTTCGTGCCTTTAGAAAAAATGTTCTTTTGTAGTTACTCTTACATATGTTTAATACGTTGTGATATTAAAATGTAATGTTTGTTTTTTCAGGGTTTGTTTGTTTATTTCTATTTCTTTGGGCAGAGAAGTAGTGTTTCGTTTCCCTTTTAAAACTATATCCCTAAATAGAACTTTAAACTTTCCCTTTAATAAGAAAATGTGATTAAGTTGGAAGATCCAAGGAAATTATCCAAGTAAGATCTGGATGAATTTTAAAATGTTAACATATAAACACAGTTTTATATAATGTGGAGAATATGTTTTTATTCACTAGTAAATAATTTTCTAATTAAAACCCGTAAGAAAAATTTATTGTAATGGGGGCATTAATTTTAAGTTAGAGAATTCTGATGTTTTAGGCAATACTTCTAACATAAAATTGATTGTTTGGATTTGGAGTGCCATAACTATCAAGTAACAGCTAAAGAGCACCTTAACCAAAAAGTCATAATTTTCATTATAGATTGTTAAGGCCATGTAATTGATTTTTTAAATGTAAAATGTGAAAATACTTTTTTTAAAAAAAGAATTTTAGTATGAATTGAGTATTTTTCAAATGTTCTATAGTACCTGACAAAAACATTGTTGTGACTGTAGATTGAGAGACGTGAAATTACACCTTTTAAAGACATCATCAAAATCCTTAAGAATCCTGAGATGGTATATATCATCTTTACTTCATGCAGTAGTGACTAGTTTTAGATTTTAAAGCCAAAGTTATAACACTTAAACAAGTTTTCATTTTATGTCCCAAGAGTTTCAAAATCAAATATTTAAGATAAAGTATTTTCTTATCATTGTCAATTCTTCTATATATAGTTGTTTGATCTTGTCTCTAGAGCAGTGTTTTCAAACAAGCAACTACTTTATTTATTGTAGCATAAACCACCTACTGATTGCTTTTGCTACCTACATGTGATTGGGTTCAACTTGCATAATATTCTTTATCTGGTTAATTGTAAATTATTTCCTTTTTTTCCTAAAGCATTTTGTGTGTATAAATCCCAAAGTAAGTTCTCATACTAAAACTGCCTGTAACATTACCATAGCAGAAATTTCTTTATGATTTATTTTACTTTCTTTTACAGCAATAACATAGATGTTGCAATAGAAAACATTGAAAATATGCTTACTTCAGGGAATCAAACTGTGGAACCCCAGTACTTTGGCTTGGCATACTTATTCAGAAAAGTAATAGAAGAGCAGTTGGAACCAGCACTTGAAAAGAGTAAGTTGACTGTTCTTGATAACACACACACACACACACACACAGAAACACATTTTTTTCTATAGAGAGACTGGACCAAATTTCTTTAGCAGATGAGTTATACTACTGTTTAAATGAAAGATTTTTCTTACCTGTCATTTTTTTTCAGTAAGCATCATGGCAGAGAGATTGGCCAATCAGTTTGCAGTTTACAAACCTGTCACTGACCTTTTCCTTCAGCTTCTGGATTCAGGCAAGGTGGATGATGCCAGAGCTCTCCTACAGGTAATGACCCACCACAGATGGAACAGTGGGGCTGGTGGCTTGTGAGAAGTAAATTGAGAAATGACCAGGTGTGTGGTAGAACACTGGAAGTGAAATGTGGTGCTGCTAGCACATTTAAATTCCTTGCAAACCAAGGTTGCATGACAAGGACTATATCGTAAGTTGTAGGTTCCTCATTTTAAAGATGCCAAATCAGACAGAAATATCCTTAGATTTTAGCGGGTGAGGAGGGTGCAGGAAGATTTGTTTTGCTGAGACTTAAAAGGCAAATGTTTCTGTGCAGATAGGTAACGCAAAACAATTCCTTTGATTTCCTACTTTAATTTCTCTAATGCTCTAAATACTGTGCATCACCATGGCAACACAGTTTGCAAACAAAAAGTAGGAAATGTTTGCTTTTCAAGTACAGCTTCTCCCTTGAATACTCAAACACTCTCAGTGCCTTATTCAAGGTTTATTAAGAGTTGAATTTGCTTTCTATTCACTTGTATGTCACAGACACATTAAATGACAAATGCAGGTCTCTGTGGCCCGCACTCTCAGTTAAATTAGCAATCTTCAGGGAAGGAGACAACTGCATTCATGCCATTTTAACAGCACTAAATATAAAGCTGCTCCAAGTGCCGAACGGTGGGTGATCGGAGCTGCCACTGGCAATGTACACAAACAGGCACCACTGGGGAGCCCCTTCCCAGCAGGTGGCAGTCAAATAGTCACCGTGATCCTGCCAACGGCTGTGTTTGTGTAGACTCCCTGTGTCAAATTGAGACCTGGGACCAATTTCTGGTAGTAAATAGTATTCTATTCACTTACATTTTTCCGAATAGTAGATAGGGATGGTAAAACTGTACCCATTTGTTCAAGCTCTAGTTTTGATCCCTAAATTTCATCTAGTTTAACAGTAGAATTAAAGCCATTTTTAAAAGTAGTGCCTGAGAGATAGCTCTGTGTAAATGGTTTTGTAAGAAGTATAAATTGTCATTGCCTCTAAGACTTTTTTACTTTTGTTTAAGAGTGGAGAGAAATTCCGGTTAATTGGGAATTTTTTTGTTTGGTTTAGGTTGCTTACTTTTTTCTTTTTCTTTTTTCATGGAAAAGGCAATTTATGATAGATAGAAATGTCAGGAATTTTTTTCATTGTTTTATCTTGCTGCCTTTAGTGTTACAGGTTCTATCTTGAAAGAAAGAAACTCTAATGCTTTATCTTTGTGTGTACATACCTAAATAGGGAAACGCCCATAACTATTTACACAGATGGTAGTGTTCATCGGATTTTAATACATTATTTTGATAGTTCTTTAGAAAGTGGTACTTGGTATTTCATCTACCAGCTTGTTCTGAGCTGGAATATTTCAAGGCTCTTAGAGAGCAAGACTGACAGCAGCCTGCAGTGGGAGACCACAGGGATGCTGCCCTCAGAGCTGCATTTACCCACAACGGCCTGTCTAGGGGCTCCTTGATGTCAGCCGTGTTGATGCAACAGCAGCAGTCTTTTCGTTTTCATCCCTTCAACAGACTGAGGTTTCATATGATAAACCCTTTACCCATCCTTTACCTGCTTGTCAAACAGTAAAAGATTATTCTTGCTGTGGGGAAGAATACTTTATTCACAGATGTCGAAAATATCAGTTTATAATGTAAATGTTCTGTGTGTCCCCAGAAGTTCTTTTTATACTATTCGTTTTAGTATTGACAATGTTTTAAAGCTTTGAAAGAGGAATGTGCTTTTAGAAACTTAAGAGAATGACATCTATGAAGAGTGTAAACTAAAATATTGTCTTGCCATATTTGATTTTACTATAGCATCTAAGATTGGATAGACACTTGATTTATCTGGTCTGTCATATAAACTTTTTTTTTTGAGTTTAACTTTTGTCTCTTTCTCAAGCACTGGCTGTCTGTTGCAATGAAAGCCTTTTATAAAATAGAGAGATTGAAATCAGTCCTTTTGTATGCATAAGTGTAGGTAATTATACTTTAAAGAGAACTTGCTTTGTACATTTTAATTTTTATAAAGAAACGAGCAGTTATCTCCCTGACACCTTATTAAATGTATAATTAACCTTATGATCCCTAGCTCACTTGTGAATGCTTGGCAGTATAATTGGAGAGGAATAGTGTTTCTTTTTTTCCTCTTTCTTCGCAGTCCTAAACCTTATTCTGTGGTTGTTGAAGCATTAGTTTAATTTTTCCCTTGTCTTTTAAAACAAACTTTATACTTGCAATGCCAGGGAAAACATTCACAAAAGCTGGCATAGCTTGAGCTTATTTTCTTTTTTCTTGCCTTAAAAAAAATTGGTCAACTATTAGGCCTTCCTGTTGATAATGATACATTACTGTATTATTGTGAACTTTCTTAATTGGAAATATTCACCTTGGTCTGCTTGTTTATCAAAAACCTTCACTTACTGAATAATGTTTCAATTTTTAGAGATGTGGTGCAATTGCTGAACAAACCCCAATTTTTTTGGTGTTCTGTATTAGGAGTTCTCGGAGACCAGGAAAGGTACTGTGCTTTACTTGCTGACAAATCAATGATGCTATAAGCCAATCTTGTTCAAAGGTGTGAATCTCACATAAGAGCTTGTTGGTTCAGGACTAGATCTAAAAACACTATAAAGATCTTGTCTATACTTGTTTACATTTTAAATGTTTACATTTTAAGTCAGTTCTGGCTCCTTAGTTGTACTGGAAATGCAATACAGGTTCATGCAGTGGATTCTCCATGCGTGTAGTTGTGCATTAAGAGCCTCAAGAAAGGGCCTGGAGAAATGGAGGATAAAAACCGTGTAGCTTAGGTCACTTGGTACATTTAACAGTGCAGAAGCACTGCTCCCATCAGGTGGCTATTTTGACCATTCATCACGTATATAAACCATCAGGTAGATTATCCATTTGGCTTTAAAACTGGTATGTGCTAGAAATTAATGTTCTCGGTTTGTACAGCTACCTTACACTAAAAGATGCATGTGTGTGGTGTGTAAGACAGAACCAAGTCCAATTTTTGATGTTAAAAAAAGAATACAAGCAAATTTCTTTAAAAAAAGAAAAAAGAAAAAAGAAACTATTAAGACCTGATTTTAACTGTTGAGCACCAGAAACCCCATTATTAGTTTATTTGGGAGCATTATGAAGTTTCAGAGTGCCAGTTGTTAATGTTTGTTTTATTGTGAAACATTTAGATTGTTTCCAGTCTGGGAGGTCTAAGTTTTCCTTAATTTCTATATACTTTCCACACACATACACACACTTTTTACACACATTTTTAAAAAAATGTTAACCTAATTACATATTTTAGCTCTGGCTCATGTATTTATAACAACTTTTTGACAATATTTAGTTGCTCTTTTTTTTTTTTCCTTTCAAAGAGACTATTTTTAAAAATAGCGATTAAAAAGTATAAGGAATCTAAAAAGCACTTGTCACTTCACATGTGGGGCTGTGCCAAGTACTTCCTTGCCTTGCTTGGAAGATGGGACAGGAAATATACAGTAACGTGTCTGCTTGGAACATCCCTCCCAGGAGACTTGAAATTAATAGGAAGTCCTTGGAAGATGCAGGTCCAGATATAGATTGATGGAATAAATGCGCTTAAAAGTGAGTTAGGATTTTTAAAAAATTTCTGTTACAGGGTCTACCTGTTTAACAGTAGCATAATTAAACCTGATTTAGCTTCTTATGGTGAAATGGGAACAGAGCATAAAGCTACATATAATTCATTTTTTATTTATCCAGCAATATTGGAGTGTTTGGAAATATTTAGTGGTTATTCACAAGGGTATGGCAGTTCTGTGTTCACTATAGAAACTAAAAAGCCGAAAGCAATTAAGTGAAAATTCCAGTGAGATCTGCAAGCGCTCTATATACCCAGTAGGGAAAACTTCTGAATGTTTTACTTAGATCTTCACATTTCACCTAAAATTGTTGGCACCTAAACATACAGTTATTATCTCTTCTACTCTTTGGGATCTCATAACTTCTTGCTGTGGTTACCAACTGACAGAAGAAGCAGCCTTTATAATATTTTAGAAAAATATTCATGAGAATGTAAACGGAATTGCATTAACTTTTGAAAAATGCTTGTTTGTTTTGGCTGTAAATTATTAAATCAACATCAAATACTAAGATACAGGCATACTTCATTTTATTGCGCTTCACAGATTTGTTTTTTACAAACAAAGGCAGAATCCTCCACCAGCAAAAAAATTATGACTCACTTTATGTGATAACTTGCTTTTTTGCAGTGGTCTGGAACTGAGCCCACAACATCTGTGACGTATGCCTGTATACAGAAGGGAAAATAGTCCATTTTATTGAGTAGGTAGTTCTATTGTAATTTTTTGTTAAGATTTTCTGATATAATGTTTATATATTAGTGTTCTATTTCACTGTTCTTTTGTATTGCTGGTAACATTACCTATGTTAATTTCCTAGGCACCAACATTGAAATCTTTGTTAGAATTGATTCCTGAATTAACTGAAAAGGAAGAAGCATACAATTCCATCATGAAAAGCTATGGTAAGAAGTTTTATCTGACTATATTATTTAAGTAATTTAAATATTCGTAGTGTAGTCAGCTAAGTTAGTCTTTAGCTCATAGGCAGTAATCCTAAATATCAAATAATTAGATATAAATGATTTAGCTTTAGAATATTTTTAAAAACTACATAAGAAAAATATGAAATTATTCATATAATTTTAACCTAAAATCATATCACTGTGCATCTTCAGAGGGGCCCACATATGTTAAGTGGGATCCCAGATTCCTGGAGAGACTTGGAAGTCCACATGGGTTTACATACTGGGAACCAGTCCTGTCTCCCCACCTGAAACATTACTTGAAATAGGTACATACTCGAGGCTATCGCTCGACTTGCCTTCTTGCTCCTTCAGTACCCTCGGTCTTTACTTAGGCCTTTGAAATAACAGACCCTTAACTAAAAAATGGGATCCAGGGTTTTCCCTTAAGTCACAGTTCAAATTCCAGTCTTAAGCAGTTTATACCCCGATTGCCAGTCCATCACATATGAAAGGGAACCAGTCTAAAGTTTCCTTAGTAATCAAGATAAATGTTAGCATTTCTAAGTTTTAATCACCTCTCCATCTGCCACCCACTAATTTGCTCACTTGAGACAAGGGGTGAGTAAAGAATTGCTTTTTTGATTTTATTGTTGGCAGGGCAACAGATTTCAGTCAGAATCAGTAAATTGGTTCTCCTTTTTTCCACCCTATGAGGGGAACATGATGTATTTCAAAACAGAGCTATAATCATAAACCTTCTCAACGTTCCTATTGGGGAATTGGCAGGTATTAAATAGTAACTATAACATGAAATAGGGTCAAACTGCATAAAACCAACTAAATTGTGTGATCCCACTTTGGGAATCAAGAGGGAGAAGAGCAGGGAGATCAAGAAGGGACAATGGTAGAGATTGAGCTGAGCCCTTGACAGTGACAGGGAAATGATTTGGCCCCCTAGGGTGGGAAACAAAGAATTTACATGGAGGAAATAGACTTCACCCAATCTGCAAAGATCTGTTCAACTCCAGTGAGAGCTAGTGAGTCATCCACCCTTCCTCCCTTTGGGAGATCCTTCGATTGATTCCTAAATTTCTTACATCCATTTTGGAGGCTCTCCCCTGGTGCTGCTAGAGTTGGGCTTGGTTGTTGAGCATCAGTGTAGGGGGTAGGGTTGTTAGGTGCTTAGATGTTAATCACCAGCAGTAATTGTTAGCAGAGCCCTTATAATCTTCACAGTAAACTTAAAAAGAAAATTTCTACAAATCAGCCACAAGTGAAGAGTCAGCTAAACCTAGCTCCTGGCTGCTCCATCATTCTTTTAAGTGGAATATTAGTATAACTTAATATTTTATAGATGTATATAGATTTTTAATGTATATTGGTAAAAGACATTTTTTGTCAGCTTTATTCCTCATATTTGCTAATTTTATGACAAGAATGTATTGAAAGTATTTGTGATGTTGTTTAGTTGGTCTTGCTATAAAGATTTTTGCATAATTTACATGTCCGTCACCACAACAATCCCTAAATTAGCTTGATTTCAAAGTGTGGTTTTAAGCAGAAGAGGGTTGAACGGTATGTGATTACTATCTGGTTGAGAACTTTAGTATGTGGCCACTATCATGGATCTTTTAAAATGCTCGTATTTGTCATTTTCCTCTTATAGTGAATAATGCTAAATGAGAGGTATGAGGAAAGGAGTGAGGGACCTTGTAGATTCTGAGTGTGGCTTTTTGCTAAAGGTAGTTAAGTATCCCTTTGCCTTGGGATCAGGGAATCAAGGAGTCCCTTAATGGCCCAGTATTTTGGGAAAAGAGGAAGACAAGTTGTCTTTACTTACGATTAATATCCTTTTTTTTCAGTCATGGACAGTGATGTCCCATCTGCTAAAGCACTGTATGAAAATTTGACTGCGAAGAACATAAAATTGGATGATCTGTTTCTAAAACGTTACGCAGTTTTGCTGAAGAATGCTGGAGAGTCTGTCCCTTTTACTGAGCCTCCTGTGAGTATTTCTTAATTAAGGGGGAAAAAATTACCTCTGCAGATTTATGTATGCTTCATAATAATGTGTAAAAAAAATAGTTGAATACTTAATTACATGAGGATTAGATCTCTGTGAAGAACCCTCAGGGGAGGGTTTGGCTGTGGGAGAACATAGCCCTCTGGGGCTGAGATTTAAATTACAAGATCAGTCTCAGACCTTCAGCTATAGGTATGAATTTATCAAATGTCCTTGGGGTGGTTTTCTCATCATTTCAACTTGAAATAGGATTTAATGGCCTATATTTCAATAGCTAAGTATATTATGGAACTGTTCATTGCTTATTCATTTTAAATAAGTTTTAATTTCATTTAGGACATTTTTTATTGAGGTATAATTGACATGACAATGTATTACTTTCAGGTGTACAATATAATGATTTGATATTTATATATATTGCAAAATGATAGACACCACAATAAGTCCAGTTAACATCCATCACCATATGCAGTTACAAAATTTTTTCTTATGATGAGAACTTTGAAGAACAATTTCCCTAGCTACTTTCAAATATGCAATACAGTATCATTAACTAATAAGCACCATGATACACATTACATCCCGTAATTTAACTGATTTTATAACTGGCAACGTGTACCTTTTGATCTCCTTCACCCATTTCACCCACCTCCCATTTCAGGCAACCACCAATCTGTTCTTTGTATCTATGAGCTCGGTTTTGTGTTTCGTTTTTTAGATTCCACATTTAAGTGAGATTATACAGAATTTACTTTTTTCTGTCTGACTTCTCTTAGCATAATGCCCTCAAGATCTATCCATGTTGTTTCAAATGGCAAGATTTCATTCTTTTTTATGGATGAGCAGTATTCTTCTCTGTGTGTATGTGCGTAGCACATCTAACGCTGCAGTGAACATGGGGGCGCATATATCTTTTTGAATTAGTATCTTTGTTTTCTTTGGATAAGTACCCAGAAGTAGAATTGCTGGGTCATAAGGTAGTTCTGTTTTTAATTTTTTGAGGAGGCTCTGTACCATTTTCCACAGTGGTTGCGCCAGTTTACATTCCTACCAACAGTGCACAGGACTTCTCTTTCCAACACTTGTTTCTTGTCTTTTATGATAGCCATTCTAACAGGCGTGAGGTGGTATCTCATTGTGGATTTGATTTGCATTTCCCTGATGATTAGCAATATTGAGCATCTATCTATTGGCCATCTGTATGTCTTCATTGGAAAAATTTCTATTCAGATCTTCTGTCCATTTTTAAATAAGATCGTTTGGTGTTTTTGCTATCGATTTGTATGAGGGTTTTTTTTTTTTTTTAGTAATTCTTTTATTTTATTATTTTTTAAAAATTTATTTATTTTTTGGTGACATTGGTTAACGAAATCCAATACGTTTCAGCTGTACATTTGTATGAGTTCTTTAAATATATTTTAGATATTAATCCCTCATCACATATATGATTTGCAAATATTTTCTACTATTTAGTAAGTTGCTGAGGAAGTTTTGTTTTATTTTGTTCTGTTTAATAAGAGGAATCATATATGCAGAACTTTTTATTGTGTCATTGAACCGACAGGCACGACACCATGTTTATTTCAAATACCTCAGCCTTCCATACCCAGGTAAAATACCTACATACACACTCACACAAACACAGCGGGGGTTCCTGGTGCCAGCTCTAACTCTGAATTTGGGGCCCTCTAACGAGTGATTTCACGAAACATAAAGGCGTGCTGAAGGGGGCGCAGCTGCCTTGGGCCAAGCAGCCTTTGCTTCCACTTTGCAATACTTGATGATTTTTGAGTTTTGTACCATCACCTCTTGCTAGTAATTTTATCTTACCTACCTCCTGTTTTGTCTCCTCAACAGGAAAGCTTTGAATTTTATGCAAAGCAGCTGAAAGAATTAAGGGAAAACCCTTTGTGAAACAAGCATGCACTACTGCTTTGTTTTGTGTGTATTTGTGATTCTGTGTCTAAAATGTTATTTTTTAAATGTATTTGAGAGGACAAAAATAAATAAATGAAAAGTTACTCTGTTTATGTACTTGTATTTATGTGTAATACAGTATATGATATGTTCAGCATCTTATTGACAATAATGTATGCATTTCGTCATCGGACTTTTTGTTTTTTGCCTACGATATAAGTCTGTGGCTCATGGTGTATGAAGCTGTAATTTTTCGGGTTTCTTCTCCTCATTGACTCTTCAGGCCCTGTACTCTATTTCATTTATTATTTTCATAGAAAGGTTGTTATTTTATTTAAGACTTGTTAATATTGTTTATCTGAAAAAATGACATCCCAGTGAGCCTTCTGATGCTTAATATTCTATACTGATATTCTGTACATGCTTGAAGCCCTGCATAATTTTCTAATTTTGTAAAATGTTGGCGCTAGAAAGCATTTACGAGTTATCACATCCAGTGCTCATCATTTTTTAGTGAGAAGCAGAGACCCAAAGAGACTGTCGCTTGCCTTGGTCAGGGTACTATTTGCCATTGCTGGATGGCTCCTCACCATGTTATTTTCCCTTCTACCACAGTGGCTTACGGGAGCCTCTTCCATAAAAGTCTCTAAAACAGTCTGAGTGATGACTTTGGTCATGAGACAGAGCAATGCATTTCCTCTCATTTTGGTTTCAGGTTTTTGTCGGCACAAGCTATAGCCTACACTGGACTTGTTACTTTATACTCATACCCTATGTGGTTAATATACAAAGGAGTAAAATCTTGGTTTTTGTTCCGTTTTGTCAAAGTTATCCCCAAATTGGCTTTCATGCCTGTTAACATCTACTTTATAAATAGTTACTATAAAAGAATTTAAGATGGTAGTCAAAACAGTTTGCCACTAGAAAGGTATCTTAATATGTAATATTGACCTAGTTGGGGATTAAGTGATTAATACAAAAGAAGTTGAAAATGTTTTATTTGAGCGTTATCCCCATTTTGGTGTATTTCTTGTCCATTTGAAATTGATGTCTCCCTACTGTTTTGGTTTCAGTTGACAATTTACTTGGTCCCTACTGTTTACATAAGGGAATGACTTTGCCTTGGGGAAGCAAGCTGACCTCGTGCTGTTCATGCTGCTAACCTGTGTCCTGTGGGACCAGCCATCCTGCATCTAGAGCCTACCGATGGCATGGGAAGGAGGGGTGATGAAGGGAAGCCAAGAAATGAATGTTGTTATAGCATTGGCCTTGCTTTTCCTCACTGGTTTTGTAGAGTTAGACCTAAGGAATTGGGATTTGGCCAGTGCCAAGTCCCAGCCAAGAGGATTTACAAAGCTTGCCTCTGTGCTCTCCTCAGGCGCAGAACCTGTACATGTTGTCTGATTTGTCACAAGCCTCCCTCCATTTGTGATTGCTCTGAAGCAGGCCTTATTTTTTGCAGTTATGCTAACCACAAGTTAAATTTTATTAGTGTTCATTAAAATAGGTTTCTAAGATGAGGCAAAACCTTGGGACATAATCTAGACTTCCCAGTCATCTTTGGGGAAACTGAGAGTACAATCTCAATTGCAGGAAGGGACTCCAAGCCAGCCTTTTATATTGACTCTGGTCAATTGTGGGTGTAGTGCGGAGGAAATAGATACAGATCCCTCATCTAGCATTCTCAACAGCAGGCTGGGGCCATTAAATAAATTACCTGTAGTAACAAAGAACTATCATGTCATATGTCTTTAGCACTGAATTGGCTTTCCCATTTGAATGAAAATATTTAAAACGTAATAATTGTATATTCTAGGTGGGCTTATGAATGGTTTCTAAATACCAGTGAAATTGAAGTAAGTAGAAACAGTAAACACATTTATAGCAACAATACATTTTAGACTCAAATTACAAACACACAGCTAATTCTAAAAATAAACAGCATTATAAACTTTTAGAAAGTATAGTGTTTTATATGTCATTGTACATCCATGTATTTGAATCTAATATAATTTTGATGTAAAATGCTCTGAATAAATTGTATACCAAAAACCTGTGAGCTTCTTCATCTTATCAGATGTTTGCATGTGTTTTAAACCATGGGTCCCCAACCCCCGGGCTGCGGACCAGTACTGGTCCGTGGCTTGTTAAGAACGGACTGCACAGCAGGAGGTGAGCGAAGCTTCACCGGTGTTTGCAGCTGCTCCCCAGCACTAGCATCACTGCCTCAGTCCACCTCAGATCATCAGGCATTATCTTATAGTAGCACCAGTCCCTGGTGCTTAAAAGGTTGGGGACTGCTGCTTTAAACCATTTCAAGGACTTTCTAGTTTCAAAAATTTTAATTAAAAATTGTATGGTGGCCTCTGTTACTAGAACATCCTTGTTAAATGGTGTACAGCTTATGTCACTGCTTAACTGTTCTAGATATTAGACAAGCAGATATCTAATTTGATATCCCTGAGGTACAGTGTTGGCGAGAATTAGTAGAGTTGGATATATGGCAAATCAATGCTTAAAACGTAGGGGGTTTTATCGTGCTTTAAATTTCAGAAGGAGCATTTTACAGCTACGTAAATGATTCAATCCACTTCTCAGGTGTTGTCTTCACACTTGTCCTCTCTCCGCCTTCACCCTCCTGTTCCTTTCTCAGGAATGCTTATGAGGCCCGTGTCGGTGTCACCGTCCTGCCACTTTCTTGGCTCCTCTCCCTACCCACTATATTGTTCTCTCTCCAGGGCTCTCACAGCCACTGAAAAGCAGAGCAGGTATCACACAGGTTATGAACTCCCTGAGGACCAGTTCTTTGTCTCCTGTCTGTGTATCCCGGATGAAGCACAATCCTGGCTTTGAACTCAGAGTAAATTATGTTGTCTGCATTGTCTGTAGTCTGTCATGTGGGTTCCTTGTAGGTCACAGTGAGCACCTATGACCATGTGCCAGGCACCCCTCTTACCTGATATGCATGGCAAGAAAATGTGGGCTTACCAGATCTAACTTGCCCACGCCACAGCTGTATATCACATGGCTAGTACTCTGTGACGAGTCATTTACTTACTGTGAGAATACAAAAAAACCTGACGCAATGCAGCTAAAAGTCAAATTGGAATCTCTAAACTAAAAATAGTCTATTAAAAAAAAACCTTTCACATTAATACAAGTGTTCCCAGTCTCTGGACAGCTTGCACTGTAAGGTTATTTTCTTCTATTTAATCAAATACCCATTGCCTGGCATAATGGCCAAGTTTGCAAATGCCAGTAAATTATTAAGCAAGCTTTATATTGCAAATTGTTCTTCCTGGTATGATTTATTTCTCAAGTCTGCAATGACTGAACACACTTTTTCATATGTCTTTGAGCACAATTTTCATATAATATTTGTCTTTCTGACAAACCAATATTTGTAGAGTTTCTGTGAAAGCAGCATTCCTGAGGTATGGTGGAACTCATAGCTGCAGGGGGTACAAAATCATGGTAATTTATCGCTTTGCTGTTGTATAATCATGCACACGAGTGTTTCCATTAGAAATGTATCCTGCTTTCAGACCTGCGAACTTTACAAAGCCCACATTATGCAGCCGTGGTATAAATAAAGGAAATGGCTGCATTAGCAAATTCAAATAAGGCACTTATCTTTTTCTTCCTTGCACGAAGACAACATCTTCATGTCCAGGTAGAGCAAAAACATTTAACCGACTTCAGATGCAGTGCCCCTGCACAGTTGCCTGGACCCTGGTGGGCTCCCAGGACCCACGCGTCGAGCGTTCTCTTGAAAGTAGGCATGCGTTTCCTGAAATTCTATTCATTATTTACTTGTTTTTGTCATTTCCTCCCCAAGAATGTGAGCTCTCCTAATTCTCCACAGACCCACCAGTTAGAACAGCCTGGCACTGGTAGATGCCCAGTAACCATCACTGGGTGAGTCAGTGGGCACAACAGTCATCTCCAAGTCAGTTCTTTTCTGAGATGTATGGTTTTTGTATGTTGGAGGGTTTCCCCACACGCTTGTCTTCATCAGATCAAAGATGCCTGCCATTAGTAGCTCAGAGCTAGGATATTGGGGGTTGACCAAGAAGCCCTTCACAGCCCATATGCTTACATGATAACGTTTTTAAGTTTGCACTGAGGAGGAGGACTCAGATACGTGATGGAAGTCAGATAACAGGCTGAACACCAGCACAGTGCAAGAGTGGGATCAACACAAACAAAGCTTCATTTTAACATGGGCGGGAGAGCTCTTTGGGGAAACAAGGAATACCTCCAGTTTTGCAAAAAGACAAGACCTTCATACCAACAATAAATGTGAGCACTATTACATAGAAAGCTGAGACGCGTTTTGCCTTTGAGTTGGTGTGTGTTTGAAAATCTCAACCCATCGCTTAAAACATTGTTTTAATTATTAGCTGCTAAAACTGCATGCTCTGCTGTTCCTGGCCTGCCAGCCAAAAATGGGCTATGCTCCATCTGCCTGCCTCCTCCCCTGCTGAAGCTGCCTCAGGCAGACTCTGTGGTAGGGACACAGGATATTGATTGCTCTATACCCCAGCCCCTTTAAAGGAAGACTCAATCATATTATCAAAATCAACTGACAGATAACTTGAGATTTGAATTACCTAGTTGAGATAAGGATGTTTTCTTTCAGGCATGAGCATTAGATATGTTTTCCAAATAAGCACAGGTCACCCAGCAAGATGCTTTTTCACTCCCAATCCAGTCCCTTGTTCCCTCTTCAGAGTCTGCTTGGTGTTCCTGACCCATGGCTGGGCCTAAAGGAAAGTGGCATGGGGTGGCAGTGCCCAGCTCCTCTGCTAAGTGACTAATTTGAATCTCAGTAAAAGCCCTGGCCCCAGGTCTGTACTTAACACTTGGATTTCGTGTAGATTTAAATATCGCTGCTAGCTGTTTAATCTGGGATCAAAAAAAGAAAAGCAGGAGGAAAGAAAAAAGCAAATGCAAGATTTACCTCTGTGAGCCTGACCAGGGAGACTAGCTGACCCTGGGCAAGATTATGTTTTAAATAATCTTTATAGGAATAAGAGCAGTTAAAAAAAAAAAGTCACATCAGGAAATATTTGAGTCCATATGGGTAATTATTTTCCGCTTAATTAAAATTTCCCCATCAATAGCATAACTCGAAATTGGAGGACTTAAAATGCAAATTTCAAAACCGTTAACCTTTGATCACAGCTCTGCAAACTAGAGCCTTGGGCCAAATCCAGCGCAGACTGTTTTTGTAAATAATGTTTCGTTGGAATACAGCCACACTACCTATACTTAGAATGGTCTTTGGTAGCTTTCACACTGTGACACACCAGAGTTTAGTAGTTGCGGCAGAGACAATATGGCCCGCAAACCCTAAAATATTTGCTATCTGACCCTTCACAGGAAAAGTTTGTAAACCCTGATTTTGATAATTACACATAAACGGATCTGACCCCTTTCACTGCTGGGAGGGCTACTTGAACTGCATGCATGCCTCTAGAACAGTGCTGCTCCCTGGCCTCACCTGCCCTTGGGGGGCATTTAAAAAAAACAGACCAGTGGAATCATATCTGCAGGGGTGGGGATGGGGGGCAGTCCACACTGGCATTTGTTAAAGCTGCAGGGTGGAGAACCAGGATGCTCTAGGAAAAAAAAAAAAAGAGAAGAAAAGAAAATGGCGGCTGCTGGAGTTTCTCCATCTCTGTGGTCTTGGCACTTTGCCCCTTGCCTCTGCAGCCTGCACACCAGAGCCCACTGACTTCTTAAAGCCCTCTGCAGACTGAGTTGCTCTCACTCTCACAGAGACAGACGATGCACCTCGTGGCTGTCAACCCTCACTGCACATTGGAATCACTGGGGAGCTAAAGAAAAAAACCCAGCATGCTCTTCCTCCTCCCTTCTCCATTCAGGCCTGAAGCCATTAGGTGACCGCATTGTGGGTGAGGGTGTGGATGGGGTGGGGGAGCTGTAGTGGGCCAGAGTAGGGTGAGGAGGGCATCTGTGCAAACTCAGGGACAGCTCGACATGGGAGTAAAAGCCTGGGCAGGGTAAGGAGGGTGTTCACAGAGCAGAAGGCATGCAGTGTAGGTTAGAGACTGGTTATATACAAGGAATTAACCAAATGAGTGAAAATATTAAAGATAATGGGAGCCAAGTTGCTCACAATTGGAGGAGGGAGTTATAACTATGAAGGACTAGAATCATCTCCGTGGTGCTGGGTTGGAACTGGATGTATTAATGTGAATATATATATATATTTCCTAGCTTGGTCCACTGAGAGATTATGAGAGCGGTGATGCCCCAATAGTAATGAGCATGATTATCACTCATATCTTGGCTTTTAAATACCATTTTCTGCTAAAAGGAACAAATATTCTTTAGAGAAATGTCTGCTTTCAGAACTGGGGGTGGGAAAGTGTAAGATGAGCCTAAAATACTTTATTGTGAAAGAAAGTATTCAAGGAATGATGGAGACATGTCAAAAGGATGCAGAAACCAGCCTGGATGGCCTCCCATGGCCAAATCAGGGACAATTTGAGCATCAAAATTAATAATGCTAGTAAAGGATTAAACCCATTGATTAAAACAGGAAATCATAAGTTTATATTGATATACATTTTTAAATGATTAAATGGAAAGGTTAATGAGGAACAAGCAATTTACATAGTTTCAATTACCTACCTGTGAACTGCTTACTAATTAGAAAAGGAGGGGAAATAGAAGCTTGACTGTGGAGGAGCCTGACAGACACCCTTTTGATCAAGTGGCCAAAGCAAACGTCATCATTATGAGACAAATTGAAATTGCCTGATAGGATGCAATGAGAAGAACACATTTCTTCTGTGATATTCCTGCCAAAGGTGCATGACCTCGATTTAATCACAAAAATAGACCAGACAAATCCAAATTGAGAGTTATTCTACAAAAAGCTTCATGTGTCAAGGTCATGACAGTCAAGGAAAGTTGAGGATTGTTCTAAACTGAAAGAGACCAAAGAGAATTGCCAACTAAATCGAACGCTTGATCCTGATCTAGATCCTTTCGCTATGAAGGACTTTGTCAGAACAATT